CCATCTTCCTTCCGGGGAGTGGCTGGTGGGTTTGAACCGCCAGCCTTCTGGTTAGCAGTCAAGTGCCTTAGCCACTATGCTACCAGAGCTCCCTGGCACATCATAGGGGCTCAGAAATTTTGCTTTTCTTTCTTGTTCTTCTTCACTTTAAACATTTTTCATTTGGAAGCAATTCCTAGTGGGATCAGGGAAAACAGTACTATCTCACATTTGTTATTTAAGCAAGTGTTTCTTTCTTTCTTTCTTGTTAAACTGGCTTTTATATTAAAAAGAAAAAATCTGGCTGTTCAAAACTAATGACTCTTCTGTGTGCACACATACATCCTTGGGTGTTTGTCATGACACAGAATCGCCACACCGGAGCCTGGGACCCATTCAGGACCCTGAGTACCTTGAGCACAGGCAGCGGTGGGGGGCTGGGGCAGGGTGCCTCCCGGCCCACTCTGCCTCACTGGAACCGCCCTGACAGCTGACACAGGAAGAGCGTGAGCAGCCCAAGAGCAGAGGGGTCACTTGCTAGGAAAACAGCAGTGGGAGTGTGAAGTGCGGAGGAAAGACAAAAATGACAGAAGAGCAGTATCTTATTCTGTTGAAAACTACAGCAAGGTGTTAATGCCTCAACGGATCCCTCTAAAGTTGTTGCTGAAGCGGGAGGGGAGCCTAAGCTTTGAGCCCTCCAAAGGCATCAGTGGCATCCCTGCCCACTAGCCCAGAGGTCTACAGGGAGGGGCTTTTCCAGCGGAAACTGTGCCATAATGAGAGGGGTGGCATGTGGCTCTGAGGGATGGTGCCTGGAAGGGCCCAAGTCCTTCACCCCAGCCTTACCCTAGGTCCTAACGTGGCAGGTTCCCAACCCCCGGCTGCAATGTCACTGCCAGCTCCACTGGGCACAAGACGACGACAGTGAGTGCCCCTCAGGAAGGCTGCTGGGAGATCCAGCCCAGCACGGCTCCTTCATTCAGCAGGCGCGGGACCGGCCGTGCTGGCGGGTGCTGTGCGTCCATCCCAGCTCCACGTATGACATCCACAGCGTGGAATCAAACAGGGCGGGAACACTTACACCTCAGAAATCAGCAAATGCTGCCAACAGGGCTTCCCCACCAAGCTCTCTCTGGAGGTTTTTCACCCTCTCACTGCTTAGGCTGGTGTGTAAGAAAGGGTTTCCACCCCAAGCACACAAAACAGCAGTGAAGAGACGAGCAGGGAATCTGAGGCTAGAAGGCCTTAATTCTGTCTAAATACCGAGGTGAGCTGGTGAAGTTACCAACCCTTCTGAGTCTTTGTGTCTTTTAAAATAGGAATAATAATAGTGCTATTATTAGTCCTATTATGAGAATTAAAGGCACTAATGCATATAAAAGTGCTTTTTCGAGGCCTGGCACATAAAAGTGGGTGCTCAGCAGATGTTAGTTTTTTTTACCAACACAGTTTAGAAGATGGATCTAGTCTAGTGCTTTGCTGTACATAAACCATCTCCTATTCACAGACACACCGATCAGGTCCAGGACATCTGACTCATCTTTCTAATAACAACTATTTGCAATTTCATTGTCAGTAATGTTGCCTCATAGAAGCCCAGATGGCACAGTGGCTAAGAGCTCAGCTGCTAACTGAAGGGTTGGTGGTTTGAATGCACCAGCCGCTCCACAGGACAAAGATAAGGCAGTCTGTTCCTGTAAAGATTTAAAGTCTTGGAAACTCTATGGGACAGTTCTGCTCTGTCTTAATGGGTGGCTAGGAGCTGGAATTGACTCAAGGGCCAAGGGTTTGATTTTCTTTTTTAACATTGCCCCACTCCATCCACAACTTATTCCCCCTCCACCCCCGCCACCCCAATACAAACCTGGGAGGTTAGGAATAAGGGGAAAGACTTTTGAGGCATGATGATGTCATAAGATCTATGGGTTTCATTTCTGAGTAGACAGTCCTCAGACTACCTTTGACAGAACACCAGGGTCTGTAAAACTTGGTAGTGTGTCTTATTATGGTCAACAACTGACAAAGCTTGGTTTCTTCTCCAGTTTATAGCTGGCTGTTTAGAAGCAGCGAGGTAGACAGCTCAAAGGAGACACCAAGTGACACAGACAAAAGAGGAGTGTGAAACAGTCAGTGAGCCCTGTAAGAACCTTTCTGACTGACCTCGAGAGTGATTCTTGAATCATACTTCAGCACAATAGGTGAAAACGATGACGCACTTCAAGAAACCAGAAAAGGCTAACAGGGTTCGTCAGATCTGCTCAACCAAGGCACAGGGTGCATATAAAGCAGTTTCAAAACATTTCCCTCAAACAGAGCGGAAATAAAAAGTTCTTTATATGTGTTCTGGTTTCTAGGGAAATCCAGTCATTCAAAAGACAACGTTTCTTAAAACAACCAAAGGATTTCACTGTACTCTGACATAAGCATTTCATCTCTGGACCATACCTGAGGTCAGCAGGACTTAGAAACACAACCCTGAGGACAGTCTGGTCTGTGACAACTAATTTAAAGAACAGAAGCATTCTGATTATCATCACTGCTTACTATTTAAGGACACAAAGAACCAACCACAGCTGTTTATATTCCATCATCTGATGCCCTTGAACCATGAGTGCCTGGGAGCAGGACTGGCCATTTTGGTGGGAAAAGTAGGGTAAAGCACACTGTCTCGGCTTTAGGAGGCCTATGAATTACCAAAGCTTTAAAGAAACTTCCAGAAAATAATGGGTTCAAAGAAAATTAACAGATTGAAAAAAAACTAACAAAAATAGCATGTGCATGCCCAAAGGAGAAACGAAGCAGTTGATTAAATTTGTTCAATCACGAAACCTCCCCCCAGAGACAGAGAAATTAAATTTTAAATAGTCTTGCTGGCTTGGCAGAAGATGGGAGGGGCAGGGAGCTCCTGAGCTTTCCCTGTGAGAAAAGACTGGTAATCAAACTACGTATCACTAGCAGGAGGCAGTCGCAGTTAAGAAAAAGCTTGGCAAGTCACATTCAGCACTCAAGGCAGAGATAACAGGGGCCAAAACAGTACCTTGAGCTTTGGACAGTGTGATGGTTAATGTTATATGTCAATTTGGTTAGGCTATGATTCTCAGTGGTTTGCCTAATGTAATCATCCTCCATTTTCTGATCCAACAAGTACAACTAATCAGTTGAAAAGCCAATCAACTGAAAGTCAGTCTGTTTCCTTGGAGGTGTGGCCTGCGTGCAGTATCTATGGATGTTCTGTCAAAGGTAGCGTGCTCTGGTTCTGTCCCCACCCCTACGTCCCCTGCACCTGACTCTTCATCCGCTGACCTCCAGTTCTTGGGACGTAAGCCAGCAGACTGCTGTCTGACCTGCAGATTTTGGGATTTGCCTGTTCCCACAGCCCTGGAGCCAGCAGCCTGTTATTTGACCTGCTGACGTTGAGTTCATCTGCCCCTGCAACCACGTAAGTCAGGAGAAGCCTACATCCTGGTGCTTGACCCACAGATTTAGGACTTGCTAGCCTCCATAACTGTGTGAATCATTTCTTTGAAATAACTCTCTCTCTGTTTACATCTATATATGCATCACTAGTTTAGCTCCTCTAGAAAACCCAACCTAAGACAGACAGCAATTGGGTATAAATGGGAGCTATGGAAGAATAAGAGTGTTACAGAACATAAAAGAGAAAAATCTGACAGTTTGAGATGCTAAGTGTCTTTTTAATGTTAAGTGTTAAAATGTCTCTCAGCTACTGATGCAAGATGCTTCCAATGAATATTACCAGACTCCTCTATCTATAACAGCAACTTTATAAATCCACAGATGTAAATCCTGGGAATGGTCCAAGTTAGTCATTCTTTCCAGCTGCTGCTACCACGTGCTGAAGAAGAGCTGTGTCCTGAGTCAGACTTTCCATGGATGGAATCATGCAGCACTGCATATAATGCAATGCGACTGCTCTTCACACCCTACTCACTAACCCACTAGATGTACACAAACCCTGGCCCGGAGTCCAAGGCTCACAGCTGCCAACTTAGACCTACCTCCGTGGGGTGCAGTCATCATGGGGGGGGATAATGACCACCTTCACTGTGACGGATGTTCTCAGCAGATCGATCATCTGCTCGTGGCTCAGAGTGGCCACTGCCACTTTGCAGATCTCCACCAGGCGGCTGCCCTGCCTTAGGCCCGCCTGCCAGGCGTAGCCATAGGGCTCAACGTCAGCCACGATGCCCTCGTAGTTGACATGGAAGCCAAGCTGTCCTAGCCCGTTCCTCCGCAGAGTCATCTCCATTGACTCACAACCTTTTGATACAAACTAGACATGGAAACAAAAGATACCAGGGCTTAATGCAACAGGGCATTAAATAGTGGATGAGCAAGAAGAAAACTGCAAGCAGGGTTATTTCTGAATACTCTATTGCCAGCTGAAGGGCAGACTGGCTATTTATCCTTCACTGGTCTTTACTCATTAGGCAAAAAAGGAAAATAATCATTGCAGCCAAAGAATTCAACAGCTTCTCTGAAGTTACAAGGAAAGCTGAGAGAGACCTATGGGGAGTTAGGTGCAAAGAGAAACTATTCTGCTACTCATTTTGCCCTTGAAAACTTCAAAGCAGAAGATACTTAATCAAACAACTCTTTCTAACAACTAAAGCAGACTGCTGGGCTGCAACATCAGTCACCATGGCAGTGAAGTCATATCACATGACTACAACACAACACAACACAACATCTAGTAACGTATCTTTCTCCACTTGTTCTGCTACTTAGCTTGTGAAAAAAATGGAAAACACGACTGTACAGTAAAATCTGTGTTTCTTCACATCATCATGGGAGTGCTTCAGACACACTAAGAAAACAGTTCAAGCTAAGTAACTTGGGTCTAGTCTGTATTGAAAGCTTTATGAAATGGAAATTGGATGTAGGTTAAGTGGAAAGATGACTCACCTGTAACCTTTTGACAATCTCTTTGATATCCTCATTGTTAATGAAACTCTCTACAGAAACACACTCTCCTCGCTCATAGAAGATTTTGAGGCTGGTGTCAGTTGAAGTCCATCCAATCACATCTCTGCAGGAGCAATTGAAAACCACGCTCTTTGTTTCCTGCTCAATGAGGACGATGAACTCATTGGAGATCCCTAGAAGGCAGTCTATTTCCATAGCCTGGTTGTAGTCTTTGGCCCTGACTGCCCACACAATGGCACCCATGCTACTGAGCTCAGCTCCTGAATATGGCTTGGACTTCTCTTTCTTCTTGGAGGCCAGAGAGATAAATGGGAACTTGCCAGAAGGATCAATAGGGGTGTTGGTGACATTCTTTTCTGCCAGATCTTTCAGGTATTCCTGGCGGGTCCGAGTAGCCATGGCCCGGAACTTTTCCGATTTATGAGCAGCATTTTCTGCGTTAATCACTTTGGCCAAAAGGAAGTCCCTAAACACATTTGATTTAGGGAAAGTGACTCCTTTGGGGATAGGAGGCCCAAAAGAAGGCACATCTCTGGACCTGGTAACTGCCACACTAAGAGATAAAGAGAAAGAGGAGTGTCAATACTTCTCAGTCTCATGGCATGAAACTAAAAGTATACTTTCTCAAAGACAACATACTCCAGAAACAAAATAAGTGTTCATTTCTTCCATAAGAAACAACACACATTCCTGTTCAATGTGAGTACATTTTTTCATTCAACCACATTTAAGATTTACAGAATATAAAATTTTACAAGGCCAAAAAACCTCAAGCTTAAAATATTTTTTTTTCTTTAACAAACAGTAAACTAATCATACTCTAAGGCAGAAAAATTTTACTATAATATTCTGCATGAAAGACATTTTGAATACTTACTAGTTATTTTGAAAAGGGGGTACTAGAAACACTTTCTCTTTCAGAACAAGCTTAGATTCTGTAAGAACACAAATGAGTTTTCAGTTGGATAGGATATCCTTACAGCAGAATATTTGTAAGGAAAGTAGAAAAGGTATGTGACACAAAAGAAGTGGATTAACTTTTTAATAAAATTAATTATTTGTTGACCTACCTGTGAGGAATTATGCAGCTAGATAAAAGCACAATTTTAAAATGAAAAATTGGAATCTGAGTAATAAGATGATTTAATTTTTATAGTAATAGCAATAATGCTTTAAAATCGTATTTTTGAACTGAGCTATTTTTTTTGCTCCAATTCTCTATTTTTGGTACTTGATTCTGACAATTTATTTTCAAGGAAAACATGTTCTTTTTCCCACTGCTTTCAAGGAAGACTGAGTTAAGTAAGTTTGGTCCAGTCATTTCTCCTTCATATACATTGCTAAAAATGGGCCTAAGAAAAGGACCATATGAAATCTGTAACTATGTATTATTTTTCATATCAAAAGAAAAAAATAAAATTTTTCCTAAAACAACAACAGAAATTAAACAGAAACAGAAGTTACATGTTTTATCTCATGTTCCAAGACCTGATTAGGCAAATGCTGTTAAGGATAAGATGGCTAGAAACCATGATTCTGACACATCAAACAATTCTCCTTCCAAATTATCTAGTCATTTAAAAGTGAGCTAATTATGCAATTGTACTAAGAATTAGGGAAGCAATACAAAATCTGTCTCCTCATTAACCTGCTCTCTGAACACTCAGAACAGGAAGGACATAATCAGGGAGTAGGCATCTTTCAAATTAAATTGAAGGATTGTTTCATTATTTTTTAAAAGAAAAGTTTAAGATACTCAGCTTTGCTTTTCAAAAACTGGTTATTTCCTGTGAAAACAGGACAAATAAATAAAAATCAGCAACTTCAGGGTACAAACTATATTGTGGTAAAATGTCAAAGCTACGTCGTCAGATGTCATGGAATGGCCACTGCTGGTTTTCACTAGTTTATTAAAGAATACAAATTTTAAAAGACTACCTAGTTCATTTCACAACAAAGAAAAGTGGCAAGCAACATTCCATATTCTAACTGGATAAGATCATTCAAAGAAACCTCTGGATGCACTATGGCCTAATTAAGACAGTATTACGAAGGCAATTTTCTCCATCTACTGTGAACTGTCTGGCTTGAATGCTGACAGGTGTACCATTTTAATCTGATCATGTCATTATTTAAAAAAACACTAAGCAAAAGACACTGATATCCAGACTTGCTAAGATTTTCTAAAAGGAATTCTATAAAGCTCCAGAAATACTTAGTAATATCTTTCATTTGAAAATTGGCAATTTATTCCCCTTGCCAATTCTACTTTCTCGGGAAACAGATGTGATTTTATTTTAAATAAGGAAGGGAAAATGCTTAGCAGGGAACGTGAATATGACCACCATCCATCCGTTTGATTCCTAAATGCTTAAACTCACTGGCTTCCTACATTTCTATTAACAGACAGAACTTTAGACAAATGTATACTGAAACCCCACCAACAATTAGAAGCCTCTAGAACAAACTGTGAGGGCAAGAACTGAATTCTTAGCATATAATTATCAATGATTCACCATGGTAGGGAGGTAAATGATGCAGACACTAACATCAGCTTGCACCATTGGAAATAGAATTCCTACCCAAGACAATGTGAAAGATGATACCCTAGAATGCTCTTTTCAAAGAAAGGGTTTTGTTTTGGGTAAATCTAACTTTCAAGGTTTTCTACAAGGTTAAAAGCTCATTATTTTAGATGGTACAAATCTGAACTCGATAACAAGGCCTGCTTTAAGCTGCAAAGAAAGAATATCTTTGCCTTCATAAGAAAATAAGCTTTTCTAGACTTGCAGTTTGCTATGCATAGATACTTAAGATACAATGATTATGTTTCTTGTTACTTTAAAAGGCAGATTCCAAGTGCTTGGCCACACTTAGGTTATCCTAGCTTACAATACTGCATCTTCTTAGAAAGAATACAGTCTTTCCAAGTATAGTCATGCCTCATTTATCCAGCATTGCTGAGAAACAGGCTATTCTTCTACTCAAGTGGCCTATCTTGACTGCAGAATTTCAGAGGCTGAAACAGTTACAGAAAGCTAGAATACAAAGAGACCTGGAGAACTCAGTGCTCTTCCAACTTGCCAATAAAATCCTGAGTTTCATCTTAAAATGCACCTCGGTTTTGCATTCTACTGAGGAATATGTGTGTTTGTTTTAACATAAAGATACTTTTTCTCTCCAAAATCTTTGACTAAGGATGAGGAGCCAGAAGGTGCCATGCATACACGCTGTGGTTTCCCACATCCTTGAACCTCAGTTTGAGTAACTGGTACAATTCCTTACTTCTCTAGGAAACATACCCAGAGTGGCTGGGATTTAGGATTCTGGACAGTCAATACGCTGCTCAATGACAAGACCATACTCATTTCCACTGTAGCCAATGTTTTTAAACTCCCCACTCCAGAGGTTCTTGTGAAAAGGACCATCCACATGAATCACATGGCCAAAGAGACCATCAATGGACTTCTTTAGATGATTTGGGTCTTGCAACATTTGCTGGCATCAAAGACCCTAGATGAAGTAATATATCTCGACACTCAAAGCCAATTTAAAGTTGATACATGAGAATATTCCAAGGACTTCTGAACCAAAGTCTCAATGGAAGAAAGGGAGAATAGACACTTTGATTTTGAAAGCACGAGGGAAGCAGCAATAAGCAGTAACTCCCAGCCCAAAACTCAAGTGGGAGAAGCAGAAACCAATGTAGAGGGGAGAGTCCCCTTCTTAGAGCACAGGTCTGATTGCGGGCTTGAGAACTTTCCTGAGAACTTTCCCAAGGGACGGAAGATCAGTGGAAGAACAAAGACATGCCAGTCATTCTCCCCCTGGGGAGCTTTGGGTTTCTAATGGCATTCATTCACCACACACTGAGCACCTGCTATACAACAGGCAGAGGGCAAGCACTGCAGATCAAGGATGAGTGTGTCACAGGCTCTGCTCTACAGAAGTTTCAACTCTGGTGGGAGCTACATAAACAGTGGATTGGATGCTTTGATGGGAGGTGTTTTGTTGTTAGGTGTTTTTCAGTCGGTTCCAACTCATAGTGACCCTATGTACCACAGAACGAAACATGGCCTGGTCCAGCGCCACTATCATTATCGTTGCTATGTTTGAGCCCATTGCTACAGCCACTTATCAATTCATCTCGTTGAGCGTCTTCCCCTTATCGACGACCCTCTACTTTACCAAGCATGACAGTCTTCTCCAGGGACTGATCTCTCCTGATAATTATGTCCAAAGTACATGAGATGAATCTCACCATCCTTGCTTCTAAGGAGCATTCCAGCTGCACTTCTCCCAAGGCAGAGCTGTTCACCTTTATGGGAGGTATACGGAGCTAATGGCAGCACTTAGGAAAGGCACCTTTTCTAGTCCTAGGAGGCCAGGGGAGCTTTCCCAGAGGAAGAGCAGGAATTTGTCAGATGAAGGAGGGGCAAATGGGTGTGTGTGAGGAGAGGCATTCCAGTTCAGAGAGCAGCATGTGCAAAGAGGAGGGGCAGGGTACAGTATGTTCTGAGAGCTGTAAATAGCTCCACATGGCTAAAGAGCGAGATGGGGTGTGTGTAGGGGGCGGGATTGGCAGAGGTGCCAGCAGAGGCAGGAGAGAGGAGAGGCCAGAGCTGAAGGGCTCCATGAAGCAGGCTTTGCTAGGGACTCTAGACTTTACCCTAGAGAGCTTTATGCAGGGGAGTGACCTACTCTGATTTTTGTTTTAGAGAAGTCAGCTGCATTAGACAATAGGATGCTGTTTAATTATGGCTTGAAACAGACTTTCTAAAAGATATTTCCTCCACTTCACACTTTGATTTTTCTCTCTTCCTAGCTAGGCTTGCAAATTCGAGAAACTTTATTCCAGAGGAAAAAAGACGAAGGGCATGAACATTTAATATACACACAGCACACTCCCTGCCTACGCTGGATACTTATAGGATCTTAAGCAGATGTCAAACAATCTTCCGTGCACAGACAAGGAATTTAAGATCTGAGAGGCTTCACAATACAATCTGCTCTGATTCCAAAGGCATTTTGCACTATGTAGTATTAACCCCTTTCAACATTTATTATGCTTTAACTGATAAACACGGACATCTTTCTGAGGTAAGTAGCATATATTTCTATCTATCTAAACATAGCTACTGATCATGTGGCGCAATTAATCTAATTGACCACAATTTAACATTAGTTTGGAAGACTCAGGGTTAACATTACAGCCACTCATTACTACTCTAGTTTTGAAATTAACAACAACTGTTTAATATCATCAATACTAAGTCAATGTTCCAATTTCCAAAGGCTGGAGTTCAAGCCCGCCCAGAAGTGCTGGGAATGAAGGCCTGGTAATTCACTTCTGAAAGACCAGCCACTGACATCTACAGAACTCAGTTCCACTCTGGCCCTTGTTATCCATTAGTTAGAACTGACTCCACTGCAAATGTTTTTTAATAACATCCTAATGTTCTCTTTTGTTCTGAATTAGAAGCCAAATAAGGTCCATACACTGTGATTTATTTATTTATCTTAAATTAAAAAAAAAAAAAAATCAGTAAATCCCCATCTCTCTCACTTGCTCTTGTCTATCTTATAATTTATTTGTTGAAGAAATTAGGCCATTTGTCTCTAGAGCTGCCCATTTGAATTTCACTGATGACGCACATGTTCCGTCTTCTGAATTCCCTGTAAACTGTCTGAAGGCTCCATCAGATTCCGATTCCACGTGGGGGAGGGGGGACGTGTCGGGGGGACTAATTCATCGATGGGGTTGTAGTCTTTCATCACGAGCACACGTCTGCCTTTTGTGTGGTATTTGCAGCCTTCCGTGATCGATGGTAGATCCACTCAGTCATTCGTTGTTGAAATGTGGTGATATTTTACATGGAGTTTTTACAAAGTGAGGTCCTCAGGAGTGGCTGAAGATTATCCTGTTGTTTGTGCCTGGACTGCTTGGCTTATTGACTTTGTACCTTTTACATTAATAGCTCTTCAGTATTTCCCTTGTCAGTCATCATTCTTTGTTTTGGGTGTATGTTCGCCACTAACAATTCCCTTATCTTTTTGATTTGCTGCTTCTAGTCTGCTCTGTCAACTGAGACCAGACAATTAAGCCATTATATAAATAAATTGAGAGCATGAAGGACTCTATTATCAGTTGTGTGTGTAAGTTTTAGCACAAAGACTTAGTGATTGATTTCCAAGTTCTTACTCATGCTCTAACTATTCAAAGTTAACTCACCTCTGCAATTAGTCTGCATTAGTTAGGTTTTCCTTATATAGATTTTCCAGTCCCCAGAGAGTATAACATGATTTCTAGGCCTCATCTCTGGATCAACCAGAAAGTAAAATCCAGGTGAGGAGGAGTTTTTCCTCTGTGTTATAAACTGTTGTCTCCTCAGGGCCTACTTTATATTATTATATCTACGGTAAATGCTGGATAAAGAATTGGTGAAAAATAAACAGAGAATAACAATAATCTCTAAATTTATCTTTCTGGCTTAAAGATATCCCTGTGTACACTGATTGTAGACAGTGAATACGTTTTCCTGTAACTCTACCCAGTGTCACCTCAATGGCCTAACATTCCAAAACCCCCCACTGTCTAATTATGCTTAGTGCTCAGCCACTAACCCAAAGGTCAGTCTGAGCCCATCCAAAGGCACCTTGGAAGAAAGGCCTGGCAATCTACTTAAAAATGATCACAGCCATTGAAAACCCTAGGGAGTATAGTCCTTGTCTGACACATAGAGGTCACTGTGAGTTGGAACTGACCCAATGGCAACTAGTCTGGTTTAGGGTCACACACTGGGAGAGTTAAAAAGATGGATCTCAAGGAAACAGATTAAAAAGGAAGAGAAGTAATCATGATTTTTGAGAGGAGAGGAGTTTGTAAGAATAAAACAGATTATCAACCTCCTCTGACTGCTAACCAGAAGGCTGGTGGTTCAAATTCACCAGCCACTCCTTGGAAGGAAGGTTGGGCAATCTACTTCTGTAGTGACACTGACTCAGAAACGCAAGGAGGGGTCGCTATGAGTCGGATCGACTTGATGGCAATGAGTTTGGTTTTTGGTTCAGAAAGCATCTATTTATAATCTGTATGTGGCTTGCATTATATTTCTAGTGGACAATACTGATTTACACACAAGACTGAAAAGAATATGCTCTCCTTAAAATAAACTGCATAGCTTTCCATTTCCCACATTCCCTAATGTTCGTTCAAGAAGGGCTTAGCTTTCTATCGACAAAGCAGTATGAAATCCTTTGTAAGACTCTAGTACACAGCATGTTTCAGTTATGCAGGGCATTTTCTAAATGTAAACAGTTACCCTTTCCAGTTATCGTCAAAGGTTCTGCACCAATTCTATACAGAACCAGGGCAGCTTTCAGAGACAGTGCCCTTGAGCAGAAGCTTCAGATCTGAGTCTCCACTGTCGGGGTTTCCAACTCATGAAGCCAGGAAGCTATGGATCTCCCTGGGTCCTGGGTTTTCACATAGGCTTGGTACCCACGAATTTCAGGGGTAGCTTGTGTATCAGAAGCAAAGGCTATGAAGACCGCCCCCCCCCCCCCACACACACATAAGCATGTAAGAGAGGTAGCACAGCAAGGCATTTAGGAGACTGGGCTCTAGAATCAGAATGAACTAAACTCAACCAAACTCACTGCCACTGAGTTGAGTCTGACTCCCATTGGGTTTCTAAGGCTACAATAAGTCTTTGCAGAAGCAGACTGCCTCATCTTTCTTCTACAGAACAGCTGGTGTGTTTGAACCATTGACCTTTTGGTTAGCAGCCAAATGACTTAATCACTACACCACTGCAGTGCCTCTTCAGAAAATCAGACTTAGTGAGCTTGACTCTAAACTCTGTCTTGTCCAAGCCAGTTGACCTTGGGCAAGTTACCGGGCCGCTCTGTATTTAAATTGTCTTATCTGAAAATGGGGATAAAAACAATACCTAATGCATAGATTTTAAAGATTAACTGAGACAACATATGTAAAATGCCTAGAATGTTGTTGTTGTCAAGTTCCATGAAGTTAGTTTCAACTCATAGCAACCCTATGAACAACAGAACAAAATACTGCCGGTCCTGCACGGTCTCCACAATTGTTGCTAAGCTTAGGTCCACTGTTGCAGCCACTCTGTCTACCCATCTCATTGACGGTCTTCCCTGGGCCTAGAATAGCAGTACTCTTATAAAAGGAGTCCAACAGACATCAACTCTTGCGATGCGTACAATGATGGTGGCAGTTACAGAAGGGGCTGAAGGCGTCCAATGTAACCATCTGTTTTGTTTCCTGAGCCATGCTTGCTTATTATTAACTGGTATTAATTACCCCTAGAATTAGACAGCTACGGACCTCATAAACAAATACGAGCCTGTGGTGGCCACTTTCTGTGTAGGTGGCTAAGTTACTTCAGTAACAAATATTCAAAGTTAACAAAGCTTAATCTTTGAAAATTTGGGGATGGAAAGATATGCTAAAAATTTCATATTAACATTTTTAAAAAGCTAGAATATCCTCACCTATCGTCTTGGCAGTTTGTCCATATCAACCCAATATCACAAGGCCTTCTCCTCTTTAACACCTCCCAAAGCCCTTTGTAGATAAACAACTGAATTCTGCTACTCATGAGACAAGGTCAACATGGACACTGAAACAACTTTACCAACAACACTTAATAAAACATACAAATGCCTCCCATAATAATTTCTTTTAAATGAATTTAATAATAATTTCTTTTAAATGAATTTCTCTTCACTATGACCATTCTCTACTCTTGCCACACCAAAAGCAAAATCAAATTAGTAATATGAGTAACTAGTTAGGGGGTAACCAGATGGTATGGACGAAGGGTACCACCTAAGAAGGAGGTGCAAATAGAAACGGCAGGTGTCTAACCAGCACGTCTGGGGAATGTCAATGCCATCAGGTTACCTCAGGGTGTGAATCTGGCCATCCACGTGCACAGTGCAAAGAACAAAAATAAACGGTAACAGACGCCCCACTGCCAGGTGGGGAAGCAAAGCGGGATGAGGCCCCTTGTTGTAGCACCGATACCTGTAACAGACACTGTCCGTGCAGGGGCTGTGAGCCCTGACAATGACGAAAACGTGCTGAAAGTGGGAACGAATGTTTTTCGGGCTGAATGGTTGTGCTCCAGGTTCTTGGAAAACTATTGTTACGATGTCATTTCCAATGTGCCGCTTGCGTAAGAGCTAAAGGAGAAAACAAACAGCCAACATAAACGATAGCGCTCTGCTCCCCCATCCACTCCCTTCTGTAAGTTACAACAGTCAGAGTTACAATATTAGTTGTTAAAATACTCATTACTAATTAGTGCATATCAGAATAGGTCATCTATAATTTTTAATGTTTTGGCCTTTTTTTTTCATTCCTTTCAAAGAAGAACATGACAATGAGTATTACGCAATTTGCAGAACACATATATAGCCCATTCATGTAGGTCGAACCAATATCTGGTATATTATGCCAAGCCCCAGCATCTCCAAATCCTCAGTTTCCATAACAACAGTTTTGTTTCATTTTCATATAAGGAAGAAACTTGCCATAGGGAAGATTTTGAGAGACAACAGTTGAAATAATTACAATGTAATTTATGTTCTGGTTTAACTGGCTTTGTTTAAAGAAAATGCAGCTAAGGCATTTTTTTCCACTTTCTGTGGTCCAAGCTACATGTAGAAATTAATAATATACCAGAATGCTATAACAATTTAAAAGCAGGTTAAATTCAAATTTAAGTAGTTTCTTTAATTACAGTGAAAGCTGCTTCTTAAGACCACCTGCTGTTTCACATTAAAAGGTGTTCTGGACAGGGGCCTTGAAATACAGGCACCTCAAATCCCCCTGGGCTAGTGCCTTTCAGAAGGCATTTAGTAGATAGTTTAATTCAACAGTGTAGAGAAAAAAACTAAACGTAATTTTTATTTCTCATATTTGTAGTATGTGTATATAAACTATCCCCTAGAACTAAGCTTGCATTAATAAAATGTTTATTTTTTTAAACTATCTAGTGACTTTAAAGTATACAAATTGCATACTAGTAAAATCATTGATCTAGTATTGGCTGACAGCTGGGAGAAACAATAGCATTATAGATTAGGACTCAAAATTGGGAGCTAAAAGAGCCAGAGAAATGTCCTTTAAATTTAGAAATTTTTAAAGCATCCCAAATTATTTTCCAATGGGAAAGTTTGTTTTATTTCTAAACATGATATATAATCAAATGTTATTGAACTAAAGGCTTGTCAGTACTGAATACTACATGGAACACAAAAATAATCAAAGATTTTCATCTAATTAGAATCTTGGACAGATATTAAGCAAGTCTATCTATTAAGCCATTCATGTAGAAATGACGTAATAGGCTTTACCCTGCAGTATCATCCTTTCTGCAAAATATAGCTTAAAATGAAATATTAATTTTAATAAAGGATCCTAAAATGAAGTAATTATACGTATCTTCCCATTTAAATGCCAACTCACTTTGCCCAACACTTAAACCTATTTAGTTAGAAATAAGCAATTAATCTAATTAATTAACCTACTCTTTCTCTTCTTAGTGATCAAGTAGGAACAAGCCTTCATTTAGTCTTTAAAGATGATACATCAATACTCTAAAAATTTTTGCTGACTGATTGGTCAGAATAAGAAATTTAGTATATTTTTCCTAGCGTGGTATTTTTTTTCTCCCAGAGAAATACAGGATTTGGAATGTGCATTAAAAATAAAGATCAAGATATTTATCTTAAAACCAGTTTATTTCAGATTTGTAACTGATTGATTGCTTTGCTTCCTATTTCTGATTACTCTGGTTAAAGTAATGAGAGTAATGAAAGGCAAAATTTTGTTACCTAGACCTGTGATTTAATCAAACCCAAAGTGATGAAGTGTTAGATTAGATCAGTGTTGGGCTGAATTCTGGGAAAGAGGATGTGATTCACTCTGCAGCTAGCCTGTGTTCTGTTAGTACAACAACTGACAGTAACAAAATCCATATCCATTTTAAGGTCAGAAGTAATACTGGACAGGCCCAGGTTTATAACAGCTATTGAACTGGGAACTTTGTTAGCTCTCTGATGCTTGTAAATTTCAGTTTTTACAACATTTATTTTGAGATTAAAAAAAAAAAAAAAAAAAACATTAACTACCATACACTCTCTAAAACGATACTGCCCATTTCCATTTTGCTCTGTAACAATCTGTCACTTCTTAGCTTCTGAATTTTACTATCTAATCACTTACAAAACAAAAAAGAACACCAAAACAAAATGAAAAACCCCAATCAGTTGCCATGGAGTCAATTCCACCTCATAATGCCCCATGTGTTTCGGCACAGAACTGAGCTCCGTAGAGTCTTCATGGCTGTGATCTATGGGAAGGCCTTCTTCCAGCACTTCTCTAGGAAGGTTAAAACCACTAGCATTTCAGTTGGCAGCCCGGTGCTAAACCATTCGTGTCACCAAGGGACTAAATCACTGACTACACTTTAGTAACAGGCATTGTGCTTTAGATTTTTCTAGAAGAAATTCCAATTTCTAATTTCTAAAAAAAATTCTCTGTACCATGCACACACATTCAATTGTTACTTATATTCCTTGTTACATACATCCTGATAAACACAGTAGGAAAGAAACCAGGATCCCAAAGACATTCATTTTTATTCCTCCCCAAGTGAGTATACTGAACTTCCTCTGAAATCTGAAATGAAACGTCAGTACTTTCCTGTTTTTGCACACTGGCCTCTCGAGATGGAACTTCACCCACTCATCTATGTTCTATGCAACCTTGCAGAGTCATCTAATCACCATGATTTCAACTTGTTCTCTTTGGATTTCATGAAAACCTCAATCCCCATGGGTGAAAAGCAAGTGATTAATTCACAAAGCCACCCAGCTGGCTGTTAACCTAGAATTTGTGTCTCTTCGTTTGTCTGCAGCTTGTCTGCTGTTCTTTACTTGCACAAAGTAGCAAGCTTCCTGCTGCTCTGACAGGTGCAACATTAAATTCTGGTTTAAGATTTTACAAACTTGCCACTTAGGCTTCTGGGAAAAATGAAACCAAGGTGAAAACACAGAGAATACAAGTATCTTTTACCTGTTGCTTGTTGTTGGGTGTGTACGGCAGCATGGTAGAAACATGGAACATAATTTCATAGTCTTTATATGTTGTGTACAGAGAATGGGTTCCAGTGGAGTCAGCTATAGTAAAAAAAAAAAATATACACATATGTAATGATGAAAGGACTGTATGATTAGAAAAAAATAATCCACTTAAGAGGAACATCTTAAAAAAGGAAATGGCTTAGGATAACAAGATCCTAGACAAGATGTTGTATAGGTACACCTACCCTTTTTTCAGTACCTGACCCTTCGGGTGGTACAGTGAAGTCTCCGGACTAGTTCTCAGTGTATTATTTATAAGTGCATATAATAAAATACATGACATTTCAACAAAATTCTATTATAATGAGAAATACAATTACCAATAGTAAAAAGTATATAATAGCGCAAGATTTACAACAAGATTTAGCACTGGGTCTAATAACTCAATCACTGACTACATTTTAGTAATAGGCATTGTGCTTTTAGATCTTTCTAAAAGAAATTCTGTGTATGATGTTCACACATGCAATCGTTACTTATATTCCTTGCTACATACATCCTGATAATACAGTAGGAAAGAAAACTATGCCAGGATCCCAATGACATCCATTTTTCTTTTCCCCCCAGTGAGTATAATGAACTTCCTTTGAAATCTGAAATGAAACGTCAGAGCCGGAATGCTCCTTGGAAGCAAGAATGGCCAGACTTTGTCCCACCTACTTTGGTCATGTTGTCAGAAGAGACCATTCTCTGGAGAAGGGTATCATGGTTAGTAAAGTGGAGGGTCAATGAAGAAGGGAAAGGCCCTCAGTGAGATGGACTGACACAGTGGCTGCAACAATGGGCTCAGGTATAACAGGGATCATGAGGCTGGCACAGGACCAGGCAGTGTTTTGTTCTGTTGTACATAAAGTTGCTATGACTCAGAGACAACTGGATGGCACATAACAACAACAACTAATGACTTCTATAATTTGAAGTAATGAGCAGAAACAATATTTTGATCTATCTGTGACAAGAGACAATACGATATGGCAATAGCTATGATTTCTATTGGTGTCAAAACCATAAGCAGAGCTTATTCTATTGTAGCTAATTGCTTACACTAACCAAAGGAAATGCTAAATTTCAGTAGGGGTCAGGGAAAACACACATCTGATTACTTTCTATCTAGGTACACAGACCCCTGAATTCTACCCACAGACACCAAGTTAAGAACCCCTTTTCTAATTCTTCTGTTTCAAATAAGCGAACAATTTTGTTCCTACAAATAGGTGGTAATTTAACAAGATGGTAACACTGAAGAACAAATGTCCAACCATTTGTTCAAATATGTGTTTTCAAATATGTGTTCTGCTCTCACCTTTCCTATATTAAAAAAAAAAAAAAAAAAACAATCTTACTCCTTTAATCATTAATAAAGTTTCAGAATCATTGTGCCCACAGACACCAGGAAACCATAGAAGGGAGTTATAAACTGCCAACTGACAGGGAAGAATCCGGATTTACAGGCTGCAAAGTGAACAGAAGTGTATTCATTGACGGTAAACTCAACCTCCATCAACCATATTTTTGAAGACTCTTAACACTTCACTGCATTTTAGAGAATGAGGTTACACGACAGAACCTCTGGCACCAAAAAGTATTAGTTGTCAAAATTTAGCATGCACAGCATCACCTGGGGAGTTAGTTTAAGAGGCAGATCCCCATGCCCCACCCCGAAAAATGCTGCTGAGGAGGTACAAGGCTGGGCCCAGGAATCTATTGTTAATAAATAGCCCCAGGTGAGTCAATGCGGTAGCTCCACTGCCTTTGGGTACTGCTCCAAGAATAGACCACAATTGTGACTGGCAGACAGATTTATAAAGATCTTCTAGAGCCCTCAGTTTCAACCCTGGGTTTATTGGAGGATTTTAACTCTAAGGCAGACATGTATGCAAAGATTTTGAAATAAGCTAAAAATAGAAACAAAGTATGCACTGATTTCTAAAAATTGTAAGACGTATGTACCAACATATACCTCTGCAAGAAAAAAAAATCTTCTAAATGCTAATGACCACCACCATCACAAAAAACTACTTATTACTAAAATCAAGTATTCAATGGACCAATTTAAGTCTTGATTATGGAGAACTTAACTACTGGTAAGGACCCTGGCTATAAATATCTGCAGAATTGATTAGGGCATTTTTAAGACTTGATAAAGTGAATGTGTCAGCTCTGACATGTACTTACACGTGTTTCAAGTCAATTTTAAGCAAAGTTAATGAACTAGAAAAAAAGAGACTGTCATCTGTATGCTCTTATTACATTTTTCCTTTATGTCTGTCTAATTCTAAAAGGAGCCCTGCCAGAGAGGCAAACTGCTGTGTAAGACGACCTGGCAGATACACTCGCAGTCCTTTCTATTTCCTCTGCAGGCCTCAGTATTTTTTTAAAGAAAAGTTATGCTACTTGACCAATCTTTTCCTGGGAACCTTTGAAAACCCCAAAATTTTGCTCATAATTTTAAACAGTTTGTAAAGTTTGAGAGTTCAAACTAGGGACAAAGCAAAGTCAAATTCAATGTTTAACATTAAATTAGAAAATTACACTCATTCTAAAGAAACATATTATCTCCGCTAAGTAGATGTTTTGTGGTTGTTTTGTTTTGTTTAAATCACTTTCCAAAGAGCAACAGCAGTAACGGAAATATACACAAAAGGACTGCTGGGAGTTGTAACAGTTTTTCCTCCATCAAACATGCTAAACAGTCAGTTATTAAAGTTACTGGATCTTGTTTTGAACAAGTTCTATTATTGAAAAACAATGGATACCTTTCCAAAGAGTAAAGTTTTAATTAAAAGGACAATTAGGAAGAACTGGAAGATATTCACAATCATTTTAGAAGGCAGAAGTTCCCAATCAGACTTGACACAGGTCCTCTGCAAAAAAGGATTTCACAGTCCCTAAAATTATAATGATAAGACCACTGAAGGCTTTAGTCTTCAAGAAATACAGCAAGCATTCCTTTTCTGACCTAACAAAGCTTAAGAAGGAGTTCTGATGGTACAGTGGTTAAAGTGCTTGGCTGTTAACCAAAAGTTTGGTGGTTAGAGCCCATCAGTGATTCCATGGGAGAAAGATGTGGCAGTCTTCTTCCATAAAGACAGCCTTTGGAACCCTATGGGACAGTTTTACTGTGACCTACAGGGTTACTATGAGTGAGAACTGACTCAATGGCAAGGTACGATTATATACATAGTAATTCAGGAGTTGGAATTCTTTTCTTCCCCTTTTCTCTGCTCTGGTCAAGGAGAATATTTACTGAGTAATTTCTACAGTGAAGATATGCTTGAAAGATGATCCTAATTCAAACTTGTAATGAGTTTTAAAGCTTGAAAAGTAAATCCAGGTGTAATATGGGTCATCTTGATTATTATTACCAATACATGGCATATATTCACTAATAAGATCAGCACTCTACGTTAAGGCACAGAAAGTAGAATTTCTAATTTTCAAAGGTGACACCGAATAGTTGAAGAATGATAAAAATACTCTACTCAGCTGCTTTGAAAAGATTTACATCAATACCACCCAAAGCAATTTATAGATTCAATGCAATGCCGATCAAGATTCTTTCTTTAAAGACATTTTTTAAAGACATGGAAAAACCAATCACTAGCTCTGGTAGTGTAGTGCCTAAGGCACTTGACTGCCAATCAGAAGGCTGGCAGTTCAAACCCACCAGCCACCCCTAGGAAGGAAGGTTGGGCAATCTACTTCCGTAGTGACACTGCCTCAGAAACCCAAGGGGGGGTTCACTATGAGTTGGGGCCTACTCAAGGGCACATAACAACAACAACAATTTTATATGGAAAGGAAAGAGACTTCAGCTAAGCAAAGCACTACTAAAGAAGAAGAACAAAGTAGGTGGTCTCATACTCCCAGATCTCAAAACCTACTATATAGCCACAGTAGTCAAAACTGCCTGGTATTTGTACAATGACAGACACATTTGCAACAGAATTGAGAACCCAGAAATAGATCCATCCACCTATGGGAAGCTGATCTTTGACAAAGGGACAAAATCCGTTAAAGGAGGAAGAGATAATCTCTTTAACAAATGGTGCTGACAAAACTGGATATCCATTTGCATAAAAATGAAACAAGATCCATACTTCACACATACACAAAAACTAAGTCCAGGTAGATCAAAGACTTAAATGTATAACCTAAAACTATAAAGTTCATCAAACTTAGGGGCCCTAATTTATGGCATAAATAGACTATCAAGCATAGCACAAAATACATAAACTGCAGAAGATAAACTAGATGATTGGACCTTCTAAAAAAATTCTTACGTGCATCAAAAGACTTCTACAAAAAGAATAAAAGAGAACCTACAGATTGGGAAAAACTACTCAGCAATGACATTATCTAACAAAGGACTTACCTCTAAAATTTATAGAAAACTCCAACACCTCAACATCAAAAAGACAAACAATCAAATTTAAAAATGGGCAGAAGACATGAACAGATACTTCACCAAAGATGGTATCTGGATGGCCAATAAACCCATGAAGAGATGTTTGTGATCATTAGCCATTAAAAACTAAACAAAACAACAACGAAACTCACTGCTACCAAGTCAGATCCGACTCACAGTCACCCCTCCTTGGGTTTCCGAGGCAGTATTACTAAGGAAGTAGATTGCCTAATATCTCTTCCAAGGAGTGGCTAGTGGGTTTGAACTACCAGCCTTCTGGTAGCAGTCAAATGCCTTAGGTACTACACTATTGTTGTTGTTGTTGTTATTTGCCATCGAGTCAGACCCCGCTCATAGTGACTCCTCCTTGTGTTTCCAAGGCAGTATCACTATGGAAGTAGACTGCCCCATCTTCCTTCCAAGGATTGGCTACACTCAGACTGCAAATCAAAATGACGAGATACCATCTCACGCCAGCACTAACAGCAAAGTTCAACAAGATAGAAATAACAAATGCTGGCAAGGATGTGGAGAGATTGGGACTCTCATGCACTGCTGGTAGGACTGTAAAATTATACAAGCACTGTGGAAATCAGTACAGTGAGTGATTCCTTAAAAAATTGGAAAC